AACTCTTCACCCAACTAAGTTAAAACCTTTTTAGGGTTAATAGGTGTGTTGTGTAGGTGTGCGGAACGAAGGTCATTTTGCGCGCATACGCATGCACGTGCGGGCGCGTGAAGTGAGTGAAATGACTGATATACTTAATATGGCCATAACTTTTCCATTTTTTGATGAAATGCTTTGAAACTCATAATATGAACATATATTTATAGTGTTAATACTGTGACACTGTCAGATTAGCAAGAACTCACGCGCGTGCACGTGATCTTCGCTCTGATTGGCTGGAACAAAAATCTCAATATCTCTTTTGTTTTTTGATGAAATGCTTTGAAATTTTATACATAGTCATGAAATGGGATATCCTACAATATGATATAGAAAAAATTTCATGAAATCACGCGCATGCACGTGTGCTGCAATCTGATTGGCTGAAACTTTAAATGACTATATCTCCTTTGTTTTTTGATGAAATGCTTTGAAACTCATAATATGAACATATATTTATAGTGTTAATACTGTGACACTGTCAGATTAGCAAGAACTCACGCGCGTGCACGCTCTATGGAACAAAAACTCAATATCTCTTTTGTTTTTTGATGAAATACTTTGAAATTTAAAACATAGTCATGAAATTGGGATATCCAACAATATGACATACAAAAAATTTCATGAAATCACGCGCATGTACGTGTGCTGCAATCTGATTGGCTGAAACTTTAAATGACTATATCTCCTTTGTTTTTTGATGAAATGCTTTGAACTTTTATACATAGTCATGAAATAGGATATCCTACAATATGATATAGAAAAAAAATTATGAAATCACGCGCATGCACGTGTGCTGCAATCTGATTGGCTGAAACTTTAAATGGCTATATCTCCTTTGTTTTTTGACGAAATGCTTTGAAATTTAAAACATAGTCCTTCATCAGGATATCCTACAATGCGATATAGAAAAAATTAATGAAATCACGCGCATACACGTGTGCTGCAATCTGATTTGTTGAAAGTTGAAATGGCTATAACTCTTTTTCAACCAAACAGGATGGGATTTAGAACATTGATAGATATAAGAGACTCCTACAAGAAGGTATGGTCTTCATGCACGTGCACGCACGTGCGTGCATTTGGAACGAGTGAAATTAAAAATACACTTGAATGAGTAATTTTTAATACTTTTGGACTGAATGCTTTAAAATATAGTATATTAAAATATATAGATAGTGTAGACAAGATGATATGGTCATAACGCACATGCATTCACATGCATACGGGTGCAATGCTTTAATTTGAATATAATTGGTATTCTTCTGTTAAAGTCAAAAATGCACAGAATTTGTCTTATTTACTGAAGCTTACAAGGAATATGGCACCAAAAGGGAGTTGGGGGAGCGTTTGGGGAACATCTGTAACGGTTCCCGTTACAATTAGCACTAGTTTACTTTAGTCTCCGAGTCCGTAATCGCGTAAACAGCGTTAAAAATCTGCTTGCCGAGTGGAAAAGTCGAATTCAACAATGAAATGGTATATGTATAGTAAGTATTCCCGAAAAATGCTAAAAGATATCCCTGATAATTGTTTTGTATTCTTACCTTCAGAGTTCTTCACTATATCTTTTAAATTTTCCTCGCCTACAACTTGCAAACTGTTTGACTAAAGCGAAAGTGAAAACGAGGCAGCTCGTGCGAGTCATTATTCGCTTTCAGCGGTCATTATTAAAATATAATTACTTCTTATTGACCAATCAGATAATCGGATTTCACAAAGTTATATAATATTACAAAATGCTGTATACAATTGAAAATTTACTCCTTTTTACTCTCCTAAATTTGGTATAACAAGCCCGTATGATTGTTTCATTTAAAAACCCGTGCATGATCGTTTTATAAATAGTTCTTTTGTCCCGACTCGATGGGCAGAGTTATAGAAAATCGTGGGTTATGTACAGAAAACCTACACTTTTAACAAAAGAAATCACACCCAACTATGGTACAAGGAGATAACAGTACCACTATTTCTTGATTATCAAGAATGATAACCATCAGAAACTTGCCTTCATTTGAAGAGTGCAGGACACTTTTCACTTTTTAACTACGACGAGTCAATGTTAATAAATTCATTAAAAATATTATATGGATAATTCACAAACATTAGCTTTCTGTCTGTGTCAAAGTTAAACATTTAAAACATACATACCCCCTGCATGTTCTCTGCTTCTTTGAGAGCGATAAGAGTAAACGCCGTGAGAGTCCTCTCACCTGCTGCTGAGCCGCCCTTAAAATAAAAAAAAAAAAACAAGAGGCCCATGGGCCACATCGCTCACCTGAGTAACTTGGGTGATGTAGTTCTTTACCAGATTCCCCCTCTTGCTAACCCTATCATGCCCCACTACCCCCTTCCCTTTTATGATTTTAAAACTTTAGAATCTACACTACCCCTGGATGCTTCCACATAAGTTTCAGCTTTCCTGGCCCAGTGGTGCTTGAGAAGAAGATTTATTCTATATATTTCTATGTAAAACTTGGATTCCCTATTGTGGCCCCGCCCTACCCCCGGGGGGTCATGATTTTAACAATTTAATATTTACACTACCCAAGGATGCTTCCACATACCATAAGTTTCAGCTTTTCTGGCCCAGCGGTTCTTGAGAGAAGATTTTTAAAGATGTGTTCTATATATTTCTATGTAAAACTTGGATTCCCTATTGTGGCTCTGCCCTACCCCCGGGGGTCATGATTTTAACAATTTATTATCTACACTACCCAAGGATGCTTCCACATAAGTTTCAGTTTTCCAGGCCCAGTGGTTCGTGAGAAGAAGATTTTTAAAGATGTGTTCTATATATCTCTATGTAAAACTTGGATTCCCTATTGTGGCCCCGCCCTACCCCCGGGGGTCATGATTTTAACAATTTAATATTTACACTACCCAAGGATGCTTCCACATACCATAAGTTTCAGCTTTTCTGGCCCAGCGGTTCTTGAGAAGAAGATTTTTAAAGATTTGTTCTATATATTTCTATGTAAAACTTGGATTCCCTATTGTGGCTCTGCCCTACCCCCGGGGGTCATGATTTTAACAATTTATTATCTACACTACCCAAGGATGCTTCCACATAAGTTTCAGTTTTCCAGGCCCAGTGGTTCGTGAGAAGAAGATTTTTAAAGATGTGTTCTATATATCTCTATGTAAAACTTGGATTCCCTATTGTGGCCCCGCCCTACCCCCGGGGGTCATGATTTTAACAATTTAATATCTACACTACCCAAGGATGCTTCCACATAAGTTTCAGCTTTCCTGGCCCAGTGGTTCTTGAGAAGAAGATTTTTAAAGATTTGTTCTATATATTTCTATGTAAAACTTGGATTCCCTATTGTGGCCCCGCCCTATCCCCGGGGGTCATGATTCGAACAATTGAATATCTACACTACCCAAGGATGCTTCCACATAAGTTTCAGCTTTCCTGGCCCAGTGGTTCTTGAGAAGAAGATTTTTAAAGATTTGTTCTATATATTTCTATGTAAAACTTGGATTCCCTATTGTGGCCCCGCCCTACCCCCGGAGGCCATGATTTTTACAATTTAATATCTACACTACCCAAGAATGCTTCCACATAAGTTTCAGCTTTCCTGGCCCACTGGTTCTTGAGAAGAAGACTTTTTAATGGCCCCACCCTTTTTTTGTCTTTTCTTGATTAGCTCCACTTGTAAGGGGACTAGGCCCTTTATTTTAACTATTTAGCTCCCCTTCATCTAAGGATGCTTTGTACCAAGTTTGGTTAGAATTGGCCCTTTGGTTCTTGAGAAGCAGTTAAAAATGTGAAAAGTTAACAGACAGACAGACAGGACGGACAACAAAGCAAGAAAATGTGATCAGAAAAGCTCACTTGAGCCTTCGGCTCAGGTGAGCTATAAATACGTCAGTGAGGTACGTAGTTTGTACAGAAACGCAGATTCAATGTACAGTGTTCAATTTCTATAGACAGCTGTAGTTAATTTTGTGCTTTACTCTCTCTCTCTGTATGCTTTACTCTCTCTCTCTCTCTCTCTCTCTCTCTCTCTCTGGCATTAAGATCAAAATACTCAATAAATCGGTCGGGGAACATTTCAACTTTGAAGGTCACAAATAGGGGACAGGACAGTCGTGGCGATTGACCATATCCCAAGATGGACAGACGCTGAGAGAAAAGGCAAAGAAAAGCTCTGGATGCACAGATTGAAGTCATTCTGATACATTTATTTATAGTCGTATTACCTGCATTCTGCTGTTTATGACTATGCCTGGTTCTCTGAAGGTTCCATTTTTGTTTTGTTGAGAAATGAGCCAGGTTACGGCATCCCTTACCACATTCTCGTCAATGGTGATAAAATCTGAGGCCTGAGCGAACGACTTCACAACAAAAGCAGTCAACCTGTAATTAGTTTTACTCTTCAAAACTTAAATGATACTTTTTATATCATACATGTAGTTACAGAAATAAAAGTATTCCTATGGTCTACATTAGAATTAAAAAGATATCTTTTCTAATCCAACAAATTTGATAGATAAACATTACCGTAAAACGTTTCAAATTTTTGTTTTCCAAAATGGCATATATTCAAATATTCGTTTGCATTTGAAGCGTAATTAAACTCGATTATAAGTAAACAAATCTTCTTACCAAGTACTACCTGAAGCGTCACTCTTGCCAAAAGCGCTGTATGATCCGTCTGGATGGACATATGTCATCTGCCTCTGGTAACCAGAAATAAGCCAGATCAAATACATGTACTAGTATCTCCAACATATGCCAAAAGTTTTAATTGTCAACATAGAAATCGCAAAGGAATTCACTTCTGTCCTCCTTCGTCTCAACCCCGGGTTGAACTTTCGATCACGAAATCTTCTCCAAGCAGTAAAGGGACAACGCAATAGACCGTCCGCTATCTAAGCAAGTCAAAAAACTTGCTTCGATTCCAATGGAATTACTCGCGGGGCCGTCCTACACTACATGGTCAGTAAGAATGGACGCGAGATACATTTATTTTATAGTTCTATTGGAGTATTGTAAGAAAAAGAAAAATATAACCTTTGATCATGTATTCTTTAGCTTTCTTTTCTAGGTCTGGTGTTAGGTTATTTGTAACTTTTAGGTATTTCTGTACGAATATATTGGGAGCAAAGTTCAGGATGTTCTGTTCACCACATCCATATGGCATCTTCAGTAGCGAATCTAGTCCATTGATTGATGGACCCATCACATCACCTGCAAGATTAAAAAAAAAGATTATGACATATATCAGTACATATTTCCTTCAGAAAAATCCGTAGAAATTGTTTCATTCACTTTTCTCAAGCTTGTCAGAAGTAATACAAA